TGGGAAGGCGGCTGTTGTCTTTCATGAAAGTGATTTGTGGGACAGAATAACTGTGGACCCTCAGTCTGGCGACTGTGCACACGTCTTCAGGTCAAACTGTTCTTGCTTGTTGTGTACTCAAGTATTGGAAGAAGGAGGGAGAAACGCCACAGGGGCTGAGTGGGAAGTTCCTTTGGTTATGAGATTGGCTTGTGTGCTGACTTGTGTTCCCTCCATCACTCGTGTGTGTGCCTACTGTCTGCCCTGAAGATGTTCTGAGGACATCTGCTTAACATTGCCTTAATGCCCAGTGGAAGTATTCTTTCTCATTGTTTTGATTACAGCTACTTGCTTAATTAAAATGACTCTCATTTCTATATGACAGTTGTTTTCAATTTCCCTCCCCATTATTATTGTGTGATTCTTTGGCTGTAATCTTTCCTCACAAGAAACACACCACCCCCAACTAAATATCGCCTTCTTAACATAAATGATTTGCAAGCCCCACTGAAGGGTGTTGGAAAGGGTAAGGAGCTGGTATGCATCCATATGCTTGACCACCTCAGGAAATCTGGAGATGCCCAAGCCCACCCTTGTCCACAGTGCGCTGCCTGGAGACCTAATAGAGAGGAAATCAGGGGCGGGGACAGGGGAGCACAGGGGCACTCCTGGGTCTGTTGTTTCTCCTGAAGGTAACCTAGCCACTGCCATTGAACTGATTCCCACTCACAGTGATCCTATAGGACAGAGGAGAATTGTCCCTGTAGGTTGTGTTTCCGAGGCTGTAACTCCTGACAGGAGCAGACAGCCTCATTCTCTTCCTCAGAGCATCTGGTACGCTAGAACCACCAGCCTTGCGATTAGCAGCCCAACACCTAACCCACAGGACCGACATGACCCTTTCCTGGAGGGGACAGGAGGGCACTTAGAGAACCTCCTATCAAACAGCATTCATGTTTTTTTAGTGTGTCTTAGAGAAACTTGTATTATGAGCAGCCCAGGGCTTTGCTTTTCAAAGTTTACCAGGCAATTTTTTTCTTCAAGGAAAGGACAGGTTCCAAGTCACTCTGCAGACCATATTGTGCCAACAGTTGGCCTTTTAAGTTTGCAGTCAGATGCTAAAGCCAAAGCGACCCCCTTTCCTCCTGTGGGTGCTGTCTGTGAAGGCAGGCAGATGCCCGGGCGCATAGCATATTCCCCATTCGCCCGCTGTTTCACTTCTGCCCTCCCCTTGTGTGTGTGCCCTGTTCTGCGTGTTTCCGCTCAGAAGTTCTCTTTCAAACCCATTCATAATCATGAAGTACTTTCGGTACCTTTTTCCTTCAGTGATGCATGCAAAAGATGCGGTACGAAATGTCTGGTAAATTTTGTTCAGGACAAAAAACACTGCTTTCTCACCGCAATCCCTGTTCTGTTGTACCATCACTATTTTTATCTCTCCCTTTGTCTCCCTACTAATCTCCCCTCTGAGCGTATTGTCATAGGATAAGAATGACAGGTCTGGTGCTAGATGCACAGGTGGTGGCGGGCGGGCTTATAAGTTTCACACATGTGCTTCTGTATGTGGTGTGCTTGTATATAGACATACACCTGTAAAACATACAGAGGAAATCATTTTCTAGATGTTAATACTTTTAGGCATATATACATTTTTATGTATACTTCTAAGGTGGGGCGGGGCGGGGCTTGCTATCTCCTTGAGTCAGCCCCACCCCCTTCCCAACCTGATGTGTCACAGAGCACATTGCTCCATCCCAAACCAGCCCCAGGGTCACTGTGATGCTCAAAGACACTGTTGTGGCCCGCTGACTGTCCTGAGAGATTTCGAAGCTAGAGGACTTACTTTCCTGCATGATGTTGGACAGTATTCTCTTGTGATTCCTAGGATTTTCTTTGGTTAATTTGTGGAAATGGCTCGGCAGGACTTTTTTCCTAGTCTTAGTCTGGCAGCTGATTATATTCTGTTTAATGCCTCAAGTGTTCAATGAACTGTGTCTAAAACACTGCCCAGCGCAACAGAAAATACAGATGCCAGCGTGCCCTTGAAGTGGAGTGGGGACTTGTAAATCATTCCATCTGGTACGAGGAGTAATGAGAGCAGAGAAAGGAAGTTTGAAACTGGTGCGGTGACCCCAAATGGCAGGCGAGGCTACTGGGACTTGGGTGGTATTGGGCTGCCGGTGAAGATTTTTGCTGGAGGCAGCAGTGTGCTCAGAGATACACATTGGAAGCATGAATCCTGCCAAACTCATATGAAATATGGAGACATTGGAGGCACAGGGATGAGTTGAGATTAGTGACAAGAGTCCAGCAAGACCCATGAGGAGCCCTATACAGCCAGAGGGAGTCCCATATCCAGGGGCTGGGAGAGGCTGGGAGAAACCTAGGGGCAGTGGAGGTTCCCACAGCAACATCATAGATGTGTTCTCAGTGGTCCTGAATTCTGTAACCACCCAGCCAGCTGATAGCCTGGACTGGAGCAGTGGGCCCTTACCCTGGAACAGACACTGGCAAAGAAAGAATTGATAATGACGAAAGGAATGAAGCAGGGAGAGACCAGACCTTGGAGAAAGGGCATCATGTTTGGTAAAGTTAAGGGGCAGTGAAAAAGAGGAAGCCCCTCAGTTAGACTGGTAGACACAGTGCCTGACTGTAGCAATGGCCTCAAACATAAGAACAATTGTGAGGATGTCATAAGACACGGTGGTGGTTTGTTTTGTTGTACACAGGGTCGCTGTGAATCTGAACTGACTGGACAGTACCTAACACCACCAAGAGAATGAAGGGTTTTCAGGGCTTGCCTGTACATATTCTCACATTCCATTGTACCCACTTACACATACATTCTTTTCTTTCTCTCGTCCTTCCATGCTTCCTTTCTTTCCTTTTTTCTGAAAACACTTGGTGAAAAAAAAGTGCAAGTTTGTGATAAGTATGCCTGAAGAAACAAAACACCAGATGCATTGGTGAATAGGATGAGCTTGGCGATTATCATTAACAGATGCCTGGGTTTAGCCAAAGCCATGTTTCAGTGGGACTTCCACAAGTGTTGAGCTGTTAACCATAAGGTTGGTGGTTAAAACCCACCAGTCGCTCCACGGAAGAAAGATGGGGCCATCTGCTCCTGTAGAGATTGATAACCTTGGAAAGCCTATATAGACTCTGGTCAGAATCAACTCAGTGACAGTGGATTGGGTTTGGAAGGTAGCTTAAGTATTTAAGATACTCAGGAGGAGCAACTTTGGATTTGGGATGTTGAGCAAAAATTGTTGAGGATGAGATCTGGCCTGGGTTGTGTGCTAATTAATATACATGTGAAAGACGAGGCTTTCCAAATGTGATGCAGAAAGCTGATGGTGCCCGGCTATCAAAAGATATAGCGTCTGAGGTCTTAAAGGCTTGAAGATAAACAAGTGGCCATCTAGTTGAGAAGCAACAAAGCCCACATGGAAGAAGCGCACCAGCCTGTGTGATCACGAGGTGTCTGGCACAAATGCACTCCGCTTAACATGCTCCGTGTCCTGGGAAGTCCATCACCTCTGGCTCGTGGCTCGGCTACTGCTCCGCTGATGGTATAGCAGGCATCTGGATCCAGGAGGTTCACCCTGCAGGGATCTCAGGTCCAGAAGACTTGCTCCACTCCTGGCTCTTGCTAGTGATGAGATCCTCCCTCCTGCTTCTCAGAGGACTCGTTTTAAACACAGCAGGATGGCATTCCAGGGACTCCTGTTCACAAGTATACACAGTGAATACTAGTACCTTCTCCACTCCCTTAA